ACAGGCAGCTCTAAGTGATGGGAAACACCAGTCTCAGGAGCACTGTTGGGCAGTCGGGCCAGCAGCCAGGAGCGAGGCGGGAGCCAGCACCCTTCTCTCCAGCACGCAGGCTGGGACCAGCGGCCCAGAAACCTGCTCCTGATGCAGTCCAGCATTTGCATGTCGTGAGCACCCATTCAAACAGGCAGCAATGCCAGGAGGTGAGCCAGCCCCTCCCTGGCATCATAGGCAAGGCTCTGCTCCAGCACCGCTGCCGAGGATGCGGAGGCAACAGGCTTCCAGCCGTTTGCAGCAGAGCAGGCAGGAGCACTGGGCAGGGCACTACAGGCCCTGTGCTGGGTGCCTGCCTACCCCGCCTCCCCCCGGGGTGCACACACAAGGGCGGGGAAGACAAAAAGGCTCCACTCCGCAAAATGACCTCAAGGTGATGGAAACAGCAACGCAGCATCCTGTGAGTGCAGCTGCCAGGCAATGACGCAGGCTCTCCTCCCGCTCTCAGCGCTTGCAGATGAATGAACCGTGGCTCAGCAACGCCCCTTCCCCTCCTCGGCTGCACGCTCCCTCACCAGGAAGGAAGCAACCTCAAGATCAAGACACAGAAATCCCCCGCAGCCTCACTGTTAGCGCCCAGGCGCTTCCTGCTCCTTCTTGGGCTGCCTGCAGCAAGCAGGGACCTGGCTGGGCCAAAGCCCTGCTGCCTGCAGTGCTGCGGACAGCACCATCACTTGAGGGTGCTCTTGGGCAGGCCCGGCAGCACCGTGGGCACAGCAGGGCTCCGTGGGCAGATGCCCCGGCCCAGCCAAGCAGAGGCTGGGTACCCAGAGTGGCGAGGAGGGGATGACACCAAGACTCGCCTATTCCCAGAAACCCTCTTGCGACAGCAGCCGTTGAGAGGCAGTTTCGGGCAGGGAGCAGCACCAGGGCACTGAACATGGCTCCAGCTCCCAGACCTCACACACAGCTCCACATCCATCTTCCCAGTGCCCCATCCCCACCTCCAGTCTACTGCTCTCCCCCACCGCCTCGTTCAGGGCCCTGATCCAGCAGCACAGGCCAAGTGCCAGGAGCAGGCAGAGACACAGAGGGAGCCAAGCACACGTCCCAACAGGAGCAGCAGGAAGGCAGACAGTAGCAGGGCACGCGTAGTCAGCACCAAGGAGGGTAGGAGGTGGCTCCAGCCCAGAAAGGGGGCCAAAAGTCCTGCAGAAACAGATCTGAATCAGCCCTTGGAGCCCCATCACCTTCCATGACTGGAGCATAGAATCATAGAATATCTCAAGTTGGAAGGGAACCATAAGGATCATCAAGTCCAACTCCCTGCTCCTCGCAAGACTACCTAAAGCTAAATCATATGACTAAGAGCATCGTCCAGACGTGCCTTGAACTCTGACAGGCTTGGTGCCATGACCACTTCCCTGGGGAGCCTGTTCAATGACCGACCACCCTCGCCGTGAAGAACCTTTTCCTAATGTCCAATCTGAACTTCCTCTCACACAGCTTCATTCCATTTCCTCATGTCCTGTC